CTTCATTTGAAGGAGACTGGACGTAGCTCAGTTTGAGTGAACTAGTATAAAAATATTTGCACTATACTTTGATGTTTTCGAACACACTTTTATTTGAATGTTTAAAATACTGAAAACTTTGTCTAACGCTCATCATCTATCAAAACTATCTTCAGGCAAAAACCACATTTATTCAATTTGTTATCTAAAAGAACAATTTTTATTTAAGAAGCATTTCCCTTAAGCAAACAATAAACTCTAGATGCAAAAGTATTTTGTTGAACCAATCTTGGGCAGTTCCAGGTTATTATTCATTAACATTATTTTACTAGACAAAAAATAGCATTCTTGCGATAATGTTTTTAAATTCCTTTGTTCACACACACACATATTCAACCCCCCCTTCTATGTGTTTTTCATGCAACTTCAAAAGCTCCACCTCTGGATACATCTTTATGTTGGCTGGAGGAGCTATCTCTTGGGAGTCTGTTTAACAAACTATTATAGCTTCTTCAACTATGGTTGCGGAGTTCATTGCTTGTTTTGAGGCATCCAACCATGGGAAATGGCTACAAAATTTTATCACTAATTTACTTGTGGTTGATGACATTGAAAGGCCATTGAAAATCTATTGTGATAATAACTCTGCAGTTCTTTATTCCAATAACAATAGGAGTACAACCAAGTCAAAATTCATTGATATAAAGTTTCTCGTTGTTAAGGAAAGAGTTCAGAATAAAAAAATTTCTATAGAACATATAAGGACTAATTTTATGCTAGTTGATCCACTTACTAAGGGTTTAGTGCCTAAAGTATTTCATGAGCACACTGCTCATATGGGTGTAATTCCTTATGGTACCGTAGTTTAGTGGGAGTCTCATTTATGTTTTATGTCTTTTTTATTTTTTTATTTTTCCAAATATTTGTATTATTTGGATTTTCTACAGAAATAAAGTTGATGTTCATAATTTTATTTTGAGCTTGTTTTTGTGCAATATATATATGTTGCATTTTGAATGAATCTCTATAAAGAATAAAGTTTGGACCAGTTGGAAATAGACATAACTGAGATCATGTTGCATGTAATTTCCATGTCACTTATCCATATTTGATATATGTCATTGAGTGCATACAATTGTGGTGATCATTGTGGTTTAGTCACATTAGATAATGATGAATGCTACAGTGGTTCCCTGTTGTTGTATGAGATGGACTAGATTGTTTAAGGGGAGTCTAAAAGTAAATAGCATATGATTGCGCGCCTAAAGAATTTTGTGATATAAATACTTAAATGAATATTAATCCCAATTTGTAGATTATTATAAATGTTATTTCTAATAATTATTATGGGCTACATATATTATTTGTAGTATTTATATTAGTTATTTACATTTAGTTGGACTTAATAAAAGTGATCTAATTTTAGTGAGCCTTTAGATTTCCAACAGGAAAAACTGATATGGGTCCAAATAAGTGGAAACCAGATTTGGCCCGTTAGAGGTTAATGAGAATCCTAATAGGTTTAAAATCGTAAAGATGGTCATGGTCCCCAATATGCAAAATTAGAAACACACGTCTCTCTATCTTCCCATCAGAAGAGTAACTTCAAGTCCCGTTAAGGAATCTAGTGATTTGGTTGAGGAAGATCATTGCACCAAAAGACTATTCCACTGCAACCTTTTGATCAACATCAATGGATACAGGTACGTGTTATTAACATTAACTTTGTAATTTGAGATAACGGTTCTTAATATTAATTAATGGAAAATTTCTATTTGGCTTAAGAAATTTATCCTAACAGTCTTCACTAACATACACCCTTAGCACCGAAGACGCGTTTTAAGGTCGACTAAATTTTGATTCCTTGGCGTGAAGAGCGCTTTAAGGTCTTCTCCAACATACACCCTTAGCGCTGAAGACGCGTTTTAAGGTCAACTAAATTATGATTTCTTGGTGTGAAAAGCGCTTTAAGGCCTTCACCAACATACACCCTTATCATCAAAGACGCGTTTTAAGGTCGACTAAATTTTGATTTCTTAAGTGAAGAACACTTTAAGGTCTTCATCAACATACACCCTTAGCGTTGAATACGCGTTTTAAGGTCTTCGTGAAATCGATTGATAACTGACTACTTGACACGTGCTAAAATCTTTATCTACCATGCACGAAATATTATCAAATCCACTCAGTATTTAGTTGTTCAATAACATGATTATCTTGTGAGCAATTACTAATTCGACAATGTAGAAACATGAATTTGGCATAACTAGTGAGACTCTTTGCACTTTAGTGCTCGAGCCTGAAGGGTTGTGTACCCTCCAAATCCCCAATTGACCGAATTGACCGAGTAAATACTCTTTGCATTGTTAACAATTAAGCATGGATGGTCACATATCCTCCAACTCCCCATCCGACCGAGCAGGTCGAATTCAAGATCACTCACGAATTTCCTAAAACTAATTAAGGCAGTAATTTCCATGATTCTCGCACATATTTGATTAGGTTATAAATGTAATTTATAGGCTCATTATGAGAAATAAAATGAAGACTTATTTCAAGGGATTGGGATTGGAGAAAAATATTCGTATCCTTAATATGACGCCCATATATATAAAGGAAAAACTGTTTTACTAATGATAGGTTACACTCATCAAATGTTTTAGGTCACAAAACGACAACTAAGTTCTCTTAGAGTTCATATCACTAGGAGTTCTCTGACTGCCATCCTTGGACCGGAACAATTACAAATAAAAGCACAATATTATTTTTATTTATTAAAAATTTGTTTTAAAATATTAAAATTTAATTTATAAATAATAATGATTAATAAAAATCAAATTAGATAAGAAGTTAAAAAAATTTCTAAAATTTTTTAATAAAAGAAAAACTCCTAAAAACATTCTTGCATAGGATAAATGTTTGTGTTCAATATATATGAGTTGATAATTTATATTATAGCTCAATATTATTTTTATTTATTGATAATTAGTATTTTAGCCTGTATAATGTACATGCTAAATATTATAATTTATTATATGTAACTAAAGTTTATAATAAATTTTATATACAAATAAATATTATGTTTAAATATATAAATTATATTTAAATTTTGGATAAATAAATATTTTTAAATATATAAATGATATTTTAAATTTTAGATAAATATTTTATATTATGGTACAATATTATTTTTTTTGATAATTTATTTTAAAAATATTAAAATTTAACTCATAAATAATTATGATAAATAAAATTAAATTATGCTAGAAGTTAAAAAAAATCCTTAAAAGTTCTTTCATTGAAAAAAAATCTATAAAAATAGTCTCATGTAAAACAAAAATTCGTGTTTAATATATAGAGGTTGATTTATTTTGAAATATTAAAATTTAGATTCATAAATAATTATGATAAATAAAAATTAAATTATTTAAAAAGTTAAGAAAATTCCTAAAAACCCTATCATTGAAGAAAAGTTCCTAAAAACGTTTTCGTACAAGATAAAAATTTGTATTTAATATATAAAAATTGATTATTTTAACTTAATTAATAAATAATCATGATATATAAAAATTGAATTAGATAAAAATTAAAGAAATCCCTACAAACATTCTTGTTAAAAGAAACAATAAAAATACTCTCATAAATATTCATATTTAATATATAAAAATTATTAAAATAAGAGATTTAATTAGAGATATTTAAAATAAATAAAATTAAAAAATATTTACTTACCATATTAAAAAATAATTATCACGTCACACTATTCGATCAATATAAATTAATTGAATTATAATTGTGGAAGTGGATAAATAATTGAATCATAAGATTTTTAAACTTTATGAATCTTTTTAAGGTATTTTTAATTAGAGAATTTTTTACTCAAATAATACATTTTTTAAAAAAAATTACCAAATAGCAACTTTGTAAATTTATTTCTCCAACTAGCATCATTTACTGTTCACTTTTTTTTTTAATTTTTTTATTTTATTTTATTTTTATTTTATTTTTTTTCTCGTTTTAGAACGGTCCGTTCTGCAAACCAGAACGACCCGTTCTGCTTGAACATGCGAAAATTGTGTATCTGAAATGGCTCATTCTAAAGTCAGAACGAGCCGTTCTAACACCAAGAACGGGTCGTTCTAAACTAGGGTTTTAGGCTTTTTTAGAAGTTTGGAACGGGCCGTTCTGGTTTTGGAACAGCCCGTTTTGGGTGTCAGAACCTTTCATTATAAATACCTTCACTTTCACCACAAGTTTCACTTTCACCACAAGTTTCACCTTCACTTTCACCATATCAAATTTATCAAAGTTATCAAAGCACTAACCCACCCTTCTTATGATATTCCCTCCAACCACGACGTTGAGTCATACACATAGCTTTTAACTGGTCGTGTCATGGACCTTTATCAAATACCTTCTCAGTCATTTGACCAAGCTACAACTTCTGCCTCTCATCCCAATATTCAAACCAACATTAAAGATCATCTTCTTGTTGGTCTCCCAACAAAAAATGTCTTTGATCCTTTTAGCGAAGATGAAGATGAAATTCTCTTTGAACATCAAGATGATGATGAAGAAGAAATCCTTCCAGTTCCAAATAATCCACCATTAGAACCAGTAGCCATATACAACCGACCTCCACACTTTTTAGACTTTCCCAATGAAATCCAACAACAAGACACTGAGTATAGCCATCTGTTGGAACGTGAAATGGTTGTGTATCCACCTGGAACACTCTTTGTTGGCCAACGCTTCCAAACAAAAGAACAAGTACAAGATGCAATTAAGAGATTTCACATTGTCAACCATTGCACTTACGAGGTTAAGCACTCAAACACTACTAGGCTTCTCGTGGAATGCGTTCACCACGATTGTGAATGGAGATGTCGTGCTATATTACGCACTAGAGAACAACATTGGGAAATCATTATCCTTAAAGGCCCTTAACAGAAGTGAATGCCATTCGGATGCCGACCTCTTTGCAAAAATCACGAACTCTCGTACTTGCAAATTGTGTCCCATTATCGAAAACGAGCATTTGAGGGACTCCATACCTGCACACCACATTCTTCCAAAGAAAAGTTCTTACCTTCTCCGCTGAGATGGTTGCAACTGGCTCCGCCTCGATCCATTTACTGAAGTAGTTTACCGCCACTATTAAGAATTTCAGTTGCCTTATCGCAGTCGGGAATGGACCGAGAATATCAATCCCCCACTTATGGAAAGGCTAGGGAGATAGGATTGAATGTAGTCGTTCGGCCGGGGAATGATGTAAAGTTGCATGTCTTTGGCATCCGTCACACTTTTGGACCCAATTGACACAGTCATTCCTCAAAAATGGCCAAAAATATCCGGCTCGGGCAACTTTGTATACCAGAGCTCGGCCTCCGATATGGCTTCCGCACATTCCACTGTGTACCTCATCCATTACTCTCTTTGCTTGCGGCATGGTCAAACATCTTAAGAGGGGAGAGCTGAAGCCCCTTCGGTACAGTCTTTCGTTGATGACTACGAACCTGGCCGATTCCCTTTGCACCAACGACGCCTCCCTCTTGTCTTCTGGTAACTCCCCCCGAGTTAGATATGCGATGTACGGTCCCATCCACGAGTTAAGCTCTTCTTGGATGAACAGGACGTTCCCTTGCACCTGGTTTATACTTGGTTGTGCTAGCGTCTCTTGAATGACTGACCGAGTAGTTCCTGGTTTCTTTGTGCTTGCAAGTTTGGAGAGCAAGTCGGCCCTCGAATTTTGCTCTCGGGGGACGTGGTTAAGAGTGAACTCTCGAAAATTTTCCGATAAGAGCCTAACCTTTTCCAGGTACTTGGCCAGTTGAGGGTCCTTTGCCTGGAAGGTGCCGACTACCTGCCTTGTGATCAGTTGGGAGTCACTCCGGGCTGATAGGCTCGTCGCTCCCATTTCCTTTGCCAGTGTCATGCCGGCCAACAACGCTTCGTACTCGGCTTGGTTATTGCTTGCTCGGAACTCGAACCGTAATGATTGTTCCAATAAAATACCTCCTGGTCCTTCCAGGACGATCCCTGCTCCATTTCCCCCAAGGTTTGAAGCTCCGTCTACTGATAAGATCCACTGTGTCTCTTCGGTACTACCTTCATCGGCTGGTGAGGTTAGTTCCGTCACGAAGTCGGCTAGCGTTTGAGCTTTGATTGCTCCTCTCGGCTCGTACTTGATGGAATACTCTGATAGTTCCACAGACCACTTCATCATCCTTCCTGCCAAGTCGGGCTTCTGCAGCACTTGCCTGATCGGATGGTCTGTCCGGACTACGACCTCATAACTCTGGAAATAATGTCTCAGCTTGCATGCCGTGACCAGTATCGCCAAGGCTAACTTTTCTATCTTCTGATAACGGACCTCTGCTCCTTGTAAGACCCTGCTAACAAAATAAACGGGCAATTGTGAGTTACCTGTTTCCTGTACTAAGACTGTGCTGATGGCGCTATCGGATGCCGACAGATACATCAGTAAGGGGAGATCGGCCTGCGGTTTGGAGAGTATTAGCGGTGAGGTGAGAGCCTGCTTGAGTTCGCCGAATGCTCTCTCACATTCATCTGTCCACGCAAACTTGTCATTTTTCCTCAAACATTGGAACAAGGGGAGCGACTTGTCTGCTGCCTTCGAAAGGAACCGAGAAAGGGAGGCCATCCTCCCTGTAAACTACTGTACCTCCTTTACTGTAGTTGGGCTTCTCATACTGACTATAGCCAAGCACTTATCGGGATTTGCCTCGATGCCACGATGCGTCAGTAGGAAACCGAGGAATTTTCCGCTTGGACGCCGAAAGAGCACTTCGTGGGATTCAGTTTGAGTTGGTAGTGTGCTAGGGTGTCGAACGACTCTTGAAGGTCGGAAAAATGCCGACTCACGCTGGGCGACTTGACCACCATGTCGTCTACGTACGCCTCCACATTCCTTCCGAGTTGATCGGCCAGCACCTTGTCCATAAGCCTCTGGTACGTCACCCCTGCATTCTTCAATCCGAAAGGCATCACCTTGTAACAGTAGCTGGCCTGATCAGCCATGAACGTTGTTTTATCTTCATCAGCTGGGTGCATCCTGATCTGATTGTACCCCGAGTACGCGTCCATGAAACTCAACAATTCATACCCCGATGCGTTGTCGACTAGACAATCTATGTTGGGCAGCGAGTATGAATCTTTTGGACAAGCTTTGTTTAAATCGGTGAAGTCCGTGCACATCCTCCAATTTCCGTTACTCTTTCGTACCATTACCACATTCGCCAGCCATGTCGGGTATTGGATTTCTCGAATGTGACCAGCTGTCAACAATTTCTTTGTCTCCTCGGCTATGGCCCTCTTCTTATCCTCTCCAAACTTTCGTCGTTTCTGGATCACCGGTTTCGCATTGGGGTCGACCATTAGACGGTGACATAGAAAGTCGGGATCAATGCCTGGCATGTCGCCAGCACTCCATGCGAAAGCCGACACGTTGCTCTTCAATACGGTCAGCAACCCTTCCTCATCTTCCTTAGTTAAAGACACACCAATCTTGACCGTTTTTCCCTCGGCCAAGCTAACTTCCTTCACGTCTTCTGCTGGAGCTGGTCGGGAATCGAAGTGGGTCATCCTCGGATCCAACTCGATTGATTGGATCCCCCGATCAACCTGTGTCACATATAACTGTCTCCTCGCCCTCAAACTGTCCTCGTAGCACTTCCTTGCGACTTCTTGATCAACACAGAGGACCCCAACCTTCCCGCTGGGTAAAGGGTACTTCAGCTTCAAGTGGGGTGTGGAGACAACTGCTCCCAACTTATTCAATGTCGGTCGTCCGACTAGTATGCTGTAGGACGACTGAGCATTGACCACCAGGTATCGGACAGTGATAGTCTTCATGTAGTCTCCCTGGTCGAAAGTTGTCTCCAAGTCGGCGTATCCCCTAGCAGTTACCTGATCACCTGCAAAACCAACTAAAGTACCTGCATATGGCATTAGACGGTCAGTCGGAATTTTCATCCCGACGAAAGCTTCCCAGAACATTATGTTTGCCGAGCTGCCCTGGTCCACCAGTACGCGTTTCACATTATAACCCATGACTATCGCCGAGACGACAATCGGGTCATCCTCATGTGGGGACACACCTTCGAAGTCGGCGTCCGAAAAATGTGATAGGAGGCCGAGATGGTTTCACCCGGTCCGAGACGGATAAAACAGACCGAGAGTACCTCTTCCGTGCTGCTGATGTCGGGCCCCCTCCAGCGAATCCTCCCGCTATAGTGTTGAAGTCTCCATGGACAGCTTGCTGGTGAGTCTCTGTACTCTTTCCTGGAGGATCTCTCGGGGGAGACCTCCCCTCTCGCCTCTCTCTTCGCGTGTTTTCTCCTTCACGCATGCGTCACCTGTCGGACGGGCCCTCATCCTGCTTCCCTACAATGAATTTTTTTAAACATCCCTCCTTAATGAGGCGCTCTATCTGTCTACCGAGGACGAAGCAATTCTCGGTAGTATGCACGTGGGTCCGGTGGAATTCGCACAAATCAGTTTTATACGGTCCCAACTGTCTGTCAGTCGCTGCGGGAAACTCGAAAAGTGATGCACTGTTGACGTCATGCAATATGTGTCGCCTGGGAACATTGAGCGGAGTAAACTTCTCCTCTTCCCTGTTATGCATCCACTCGGCTCTTGGCCGACCGACATGATCGGCCTGCTGGTAGTTACCCTCCTTTGTGTTGTAACGATCGCGTCGCTTACTCCAGTCCGACCGCGGTCGGAGATGCTTGTTACTCTCCTTGTTACTGCCTCCTGCCTCTCGGCTCTCCGCTGCTCTCTTACTGATCTGCCCCTCCTCCGTCTTAATGTGGCTTAGTGCGAAAGCTCTTACTTCCGACATCGTCTGGAAATTTGCTCTTTCCAGCGCGACGTCCAATGCACCAGATCTCAGACCTTTCTAGAATGCAATGACAGCCATCCTCTCGTCCAAAGATGCTATGTTCAAGGCGACTTCATTGAAACGCTGCAGGAAGTCCTTCAACGACTCCTCCCGTTGTTGCTTGAGGTCGAACAAGTCCGACGTAATCGGTGGCTTCTTCTTGTTAGCGGCGAACTGTGCCATGAAGAGCCGACTGAAAATGTCGAAGTCGGTGATTGATCGGTCAGGGAGGCCGCTGAACCAATCAAGTGTCGCCTTCTTAAGTGTTCCCATAAATAGCTTGCAACGGACTTCCATGTTTCCCCCACATATTAGCATTTGAGCTCGAAAATCCGTCAGATGTTGACTGGGATCCTGCGTTCCATCAAAGGGTTCAATTTGCGGTATCCGATGATCCCTGGGGATGGCCTCGGCCTCTATGGCTTCCGAGAACGGCCGAAAATCCCTAGGGACTTCCAACATGACATTCTCCTCCACCGTTCTGGTACTGGCTTCTATCCTAGCCTGCATCTCATCCGCTCGCCTCCTGATCTCCTCGTTTTCACGTTGGATGGCCTCCTCTCTCTCCCTGGATCGCGCATTCTCCTCCCTTAAGCCATTGATCATGGCCATCATCTCCTCCATGGTTGGTGGTTGTGAGTTGTTGTTATTGTCGCCTCTCGCCATGGTAGGGTGTAGGTTTTTTGTGTTTGTTGGGGCGTAGGAAAAGTTTCACCGTAGCCCCACGGTGGGCGCCAAAATGTTTCGGCCAAAAGGTGGACTAGGGTTTTTTCCCAGATCGTGCCTTAGAGCCAGAGCATTTAAAAGTGTAATCTGCCGTCTTAGCTCTAGGGTTTTAGGTTTTATACTTTTCTGTTCATGGGCTTCGTGGGCCCCGAGATTATCGGGATTCTCCTTAACCGTTCTTATCTCGAGGCCGTGGGGTAAGTGGTGGTTAGTCAAGTCGGGATTTTACCGACAAGGCCCGTACTAAGGGACCTGTCGGGAGGAAGACGAGTGCCCCTCACTGGTGCATGTAATTGAGCCAGGGCCGAGTTGATGTACGCTGGGAAACCAGTCGGATATTAGACGAGTGGGGGGTCCAGTCGACATTTTACCGGGAAGGTACACTTGCCTTCCAGCCCTGAGCCAGTAAGGCGAGAGGGCTTGTGGCCTGAGAAACCAGTCGGATATTAGACGAGTGGGGGGGTCCAGTCGGCATTTTACCGGGAAGGTACACTTGCCTTCCAGCCCTGAGCCGGTAAGGCGAGAGGGCTTGTGGCCTGGGAAACTAGTCGGGTATTAGACGAGTTGGGGGTCCAGTTGGAAGGTACACTTGCCTTCCAGCCCTGAGCCGATAAGGAGAGAGGGCTTGA